ACCCCAATGCAATTTGTAAAGCAAAGCCACCATAGCATATAAACAATCTTACCTGAAGCTCTGCTAGTTTATCATGGATTTGCATATAGCCTAAATGAAATTTGCCTCCAAAATGATCTGCTAAACATCAATCACTGAAATGAACAAGAAAAATCAAAACACTTTTACCCAGAAAATACAAAAAGTTGCAGGAGCTTGCACCGTACAGTTTCCTAAATATTTATTATCTACCAATTGCAAGATCAACAAGCACATAAAACAGAAAAAGATGCACATTATGTAGCTGCAAAAGTTATCCTCGTAAAACTGGGCCTAAAAGCCTGCTGGTAACAAGGACGTGTAATTGTCGGGTCAAACGCTGAAGCACTTGAAACCCCAAACACTAACTTTTCAAAGCCTTTAGAAAGCTAAGATAAAACGTTATGACCAGGAAGTAGAGGATAAACACGGTACCTGTCATAAACACTCAAAAATGGTCCACAAATGTCACAAACCTGTAGCTTTGAATCAGTCTGAAATAACATTAGATCAAAACGGTTAGTGCAGATGAAATATTACTCTATAAATGGATTAAAAAGAATTTGACTAAAATCAAAGGAGATTTCGTACAAATAGGACACAACCTTTCAAGACTTTTCTAATTAAGGATATGACCTTTTTTCTTTACTAATCAAGGCTATCACCTTTCAAAGTTTCTAAAGGATATGACCTTTGCAAGTAAGGAAAAAGGTCATATCCTTAATTAGAAAAGTTTCGAAAGGTCGTGTCCTTATTTGCATGAAATCTCTTACAGAAGGTGACTGGCTCTTCATGCATTAATTACACAAATTAAATTCCACATCCTCCTTGTAAGGTCACAGGACGCCTAAGTTTTTATATCTAATTTTTGCTTAGAAGAGTCAACTTTTCCTTTCTATGATACTGAAAAAAGGAAATACAGGACTCATAATGCAAACATCAGCAGCAGTGTATTTTGAGGAATCCAAAACAGGCTCCTGTCTGGCAGGGAGCTGAGCAGAAATGGAAAATCAAATATCCACAGATAAGTCATAATGCAAACCATCAAGGAAAAGAACAGTATAAGTTAATAATATAAATCCATCTACAGATATAACAGTATTAAGTTCAGAAATTGAAACCTTTTTTAGTGCTTCAGCCCCTTCTAAAGCTTTTTGTGCCTCATCTATCATCCCCTTCTCACCTAAAAATCATTTAGAGAGAGAGCATTTCAATTTCCACTATAAAGTACATATATCCCTGAAATCTTTATACCACAAGGTACAATAAAACACATTTAAGCACAATTTTCAAACAAATAAAATAGATTTCCAAATAATAAAGATCCTAATTGCAAGGAGCCTTTTTTTAGTACAACTGCTAGCCTTTTTCCTATTGATATCAATCAGAAAGACCATTAATTTTGGGCTAACTTAAGGAACAAAAAGCCTTTCAATCAAGAGGAAGTCTTCAGTTCAATGATTTATAAGTTTAATTCATCTTTTATAATTAAGAGATATTTTAGTAACTTCAGTTTTTCTAATATCCTTCTGTATAGCTTCAATGAAAGCCTTCTAAAGGCATTGTTAATGTAAAGCACTGAGTGTTGATTAAAAAGAAAACAGAAAAGCACAGAGTCTTTATCAACAATTGACCATTGTTTTGGAAGGAAAGAGGAAACAAATTTTCAGGCAAGGTTGGTTTTTACCAAAAAAGGGTGTAAGCACACATATAAAGGAATATAAATCAGCATAATAAAATATTCAAAAACAGCTTAAGAATGACCTGTATCTCATTTCTAGGAATTTGAAGGCAACAAATAAAGTTAGAAAAAAAAAAAAAAGGCCATATAGCTATAGCATATGCAACTTAATATATGTCAATAGTCAATGTTTTTCTCCTTTGTTTTACAAACTTAAAAAACAGAGTTCAGGTAAGTTGAGCCTTACCAAGATCCTCAGCTTTCTTCAACTTTCCATTATCATTTCCTGGGTCCAAGGATCAGGCGTGGCTAGAGGCAATGGTGCCAGAGGTGGAGGGTTTGGCAATGGTTGAGGCAAAGGTGCTCGATCTTTATGAAAAGCATCCAAAGCAGCATGGACTGTAACAACAAACAGAACATCATATATAATAAGAGACAAAATGTCATTCAAGATATCAGGAACTTTATGTACATTTAATATCAAGGAAATCCTGAAATGAAAACATTAATGTTTTCAGTGATATCATGACATGACAATTCCTACGAAAGAATCTTCTTCAAAGTACCTGTTTATCTGCTCTTTTAGTTCTGAGCTCTTCTACTTCTTCTAGAGCTTGCATTTTATGATCTGTCTTGCCTTCAAGATCTGCAATTTAGAAACAATCATGTGCATCACTTAAAAGCTAATATTAAGTAAAGACAGAGGCCAAAAAAAAGTTACACACATTATTGGTGTAAGTACAACAATTAGCACTTGAAATATATATATATATATATAT